CCTCATTGCTGACAATAATATTTCTTACAGGTCTCTGAATTTTTGGTGCTGAGACAATGGATAGCATTCACATTTGACACAAAAGTGTATTTGGAAATTCTACATTTCTGAAGAATAATAAATACCCATTGCTAATGTTTCAGAACGAGCAAAAGGTATGAACTGACAAACTTGAGAGAGCTTGAGACAGAAAGTGAGGTGAACAGGAAAAAGATAAAGGGTAGGGGGTTCTCCACATCCTTTTAGGGTAAGCCGCATTCGTGAGTAATTATTCAGTTGTATTTTCTAAAGACTGTTTTGTGAACTCAAAGAGAAAACTGAAAGGCCTTTTCAAAGGAACATCAACAAAATAGATGTTACGATCATTAAAATGGTACAACTAAACCTTTCTCTAATTCTTTGTAAATGGAATATGATGCAAGATGTTAATGTTTTTCTGTAAAGCAAAACTGCTGGGTTGCACACCTGTCCAATTAATGACACCTGAATTCTATTCCATTATTTGCAAACATTTGCAATAGGAGTCAAAGTTTTTGTTAAAATGTGTAAATGCCACCTCCATGTTTTTTTCCCAAGCAAACACCCATTTTACCTTGGCATCTTTCACAGCACTGGCCAGGATCGCGTACCCTGCTTTGACAGCTCAGCTCGGGACATTCTTGGGAGACACATAGAACATTGCCATTCTGCAATTAAGGAAAGCACACAACCAAATTTGGACTCATTCCATCAGGAGTATTAAATCTTTGGCCATTTCAATACATTTTCAAAAAGGTAATTTACTGAAATTGGCCGATTACTTTTTGGGTACTTTTGCTCTAAAAACTAAATTTTTCACAACGGTGATAGTCTGATGTCTGTACATTCTATAATCTTACCCTAGTGCATTTACCATCTAATATCATTGTTTCCCAGCTCTGTTCGCACATGACCAGTTTGGCAGTACTCAAAAGGTACTCAACACCAACACTGGACGTAATTTCCAGTACATGACAGTTCTTAGATTGATGATTAGCTTGTGTACAATTGTTCATGGCATCAGACAACAACAATTAATCCATTTAACTTACAAAGCAGTTGCATTCCCTGCAGTTATCTGGTCGGAAACTCTGACCATTGTTGTAGATACTCTCCTCAAACAGGCAGCCATCACAAATTGGGCAACAGGATCCCTGCACTGGATGGGTGCAATCGGAATTGGGGCATGGAACGGGACTACACTCCACACGATTACCCTGGGGTTAAGGACAAAGAAGCTGTAATGGAATTGGTGCATTCTGGTTGAACACCAACAAATTTGGGGCATGGTGACAAACTGATATGAACTCAGCCCAGAAATGGCACTCACAAAGAGATGCTACAGATTTGTGCAATTACAGACAAAAAGTAGTAATGCCATACATGCACAAACCAGAGAGAGTATGTCATGCCTGCCTGCACTGGAACTCTTGTAAGCAATCTAATAACATCTACTATTCCTGTGAAGCGTCTACTGCTCTGGAATTCATGAGTAAGCAGGACTCTTAATGAGCAAGCTTCACAGTAAGGCACTAACGTGACTCTACATACATCCGTTATTGTCGTAGGCAGACCGTGGCCTCATGCACAGTATTTCAGTCATTGGAAAGACTTGAAAGCTTTGAAGACCAGCAGAAAGTGTGAGAAAATGCAAAGTCAGCACCTAGTGCTTGATCGGCATTATGACAACTATACATGGCAAAGGTGGTAACCTTGTTTTGATATACAACATAACAACATGATAACATGTTTTGCTGTTATTTTGCATGAAAATAAGCCTCACTGTCCACTTTGCAATGTGCTAAACACCGTAGCTTTTCAAATGCTTGCCCACTGCAGTAGTGCTCAATCTCAGGGAAACCTGGGGTTACATGGTTCTTTGACCTTTGGCTGGGCCCTCTGCACGTTCTGAGACCAAAGGCAAGGTATTCAACCCCTGTGCATGATTATTGATTATCAATAGAAAAATTGGTTCAAGGTACATAGTATGTATACCTTGCATTCACACTGCTGACAGCGATCTGTGGATGACATCCATGTATCACCATCCAGATACACCCGTCCCTCATATTCACACTCTGAAATGACAATTTTTGACAGATTGCAAGATAACATTACCATGAAATCCAAGGCCTTATGCATTCAGAAAAAAACACCCGGGATATCTTAATTGTTGATAAGCATTCAGGAGAATTGAAAGTTTGTGGGATGTGGATATTGATAAATAAATTTAATACAAAAGACATATTACTTTGAGGACCCTAGTTTAAGCAAGTATCAGCAAAACATGGAAAACTGTGCTGCATCTTTCAGCATTTATTTACATAGAAAATATTTTTTCAAGCTATCAACCCCAAAAGTAAATAGAATCCATCAATATCTAATGCAAACAGCAACTACCTTGGCATTGGGCACAGCATTGGCCAGGTGGAGTGATTGGGGCTGGGCAGCTAGTAGGTCGACACTGTATGTCAGAACACTCAACATTGCCATTCTGAAAAAAGTTACAAGAATCAAACATTATATTCAAACAGTTCAAATAGCATTAACTGATTTTTTAAATTTTTAAGGCACAAATCTGTAAGTGAAGTACTGACAAGATCATTGCGCAATTTTTTCTTAACATCAATCCTGTAGACAGGAGTGTGGCAATCGAGTATTTTAACAAAATAAGTGCAGCAAAATATTAAATTATTTCAAGTTTAGGTCAAGTCTGACTAACAGCATTCTCTGACTTCTTAGGTAAAACTTCAATACAGAGACTGTTGTCAATTTGAAAAATGAAATTAAGTGTGGGCAGAAAGTAAACTTGAACAGCAAGTAAACTTCCGAACCTGTAAAGTACTGTTAGTCAATTGTTAATGTTACCTTCCCCACTGGCAAGTTTTACAGGACCAAGTTAGCAAAAGAACCATATACAGAAAAAAATTTAGGACATTTTAGGTGAGACCTGATCCTTCCATAAAATTAGAGTTGAGTTGCTCAGTTTCATTTCCTGGGAACAATTTCATCATGAGCTGCTAAGCACAGAAATTTTGCTCTGCATAGAAAATATCTGCTCAAAGAAACAGGATACCAGCCCAAATGCCATGTGACGGATACTGCTTCTGACTTTTTTATGAGATGTTATTTTGCATTGGGGCATTGTCAATATTACATTGCGTGTTCTGCTCTACATTGATGTGCATTTATAAACACTGTATATTCAACGTTGTCCCAGGGCTTGTGGAAAAAACCCAAAACCTTTACTTGAGGGGGACTCTAACGTATGACCTCCAACAAAATGCAGATATCTTACCACTCGCCATAGAGCTTGCTGGGGTTGGCTGGCTGGTCAGATGATCAAGGGGTACCGTGGCAATCACTTTTTGTTTGCTTGTTTCTTACTAGATGCAAGATTTGTGCCAGGGACATGTCTGCTGTACAGCGTTTATAAATACAGTGGTGCAATTTCTGCTTAACTAAGAAGCCACAAAGCAATACTTTCTACTTCACAGTTGAAGGATATCAAGCTCCAGTTGGTCACAACTGGCATTAGTCTTACTGATTTCTACTGCTGGAGGTTATCCTATGCATATAACATTTATATTCATACATCTCACCTGACAAGTACAACTCTGGCAGACGTAGTTGGGGTGAATAAAAACAGCATTATTGGTGTACTCTACACCTTCAAAGAGACACCCTGGGAAAATTAAAACACATTCATTGGAATGAAATTTGCAACATTATTGTGTCCAACGACTGGTGTTAAGTGATGAACAGAATACAGCTTTCAGGGAGAGTACACTTATTTTGAGGTTAATTCCTTTTTGACAGGCTTTTAAACTAGCTTCCCAACTTAAATAGTCTCATAAGGACCCATGGAAAGTCAAAAGTGTTGTTTCTGTCTTAACTTACTTTATGGGTTTCCAAGTAACAGATAAAAATGCCAAAACTGTTTTTGGCTTTTGATGTTCTGGGGTTAGGAGTCCACAGTTTTTTTTATTTCATTTGTATAAATAAATTAAACATTAACAATGAAACAAAATTAAATTTTGAACAATGTTTCTGGAATACATAGTTGTCAGGTTAACCATTACACATTTCTTCTTTCATTTGAATAATTACAAAACATCATTTAACCATTACATGTTATGAGCCTTGCTCATCCTAAGTATCATTTAAATTGTTTCTGAAAATAATTAAACTTCAGTACACATATACTTGTTAATTGTTCATTCATCAAAATGGCCTAGAAATAGTGTTGGCAGGTGGGGCAGGCGGAAGGAAAACGAAAGCCTTGTTTTGCAGTGGCCAGCTTTCATGGTGGACAGTTTCAACGCAAGTGCCACACCTCAGGATGTTACATAGGCTTTCGTGTACAGTAAAAAAAGGAGTGGACCGTAAACCCCATTCGCTCATGCATGTTGAGCAAAAGCTGTTGCGTAATCTTTTTCAACAGGTGCATGCTGAAGGCAGAGAATGAACGCATCTGCCTTCTCTGATGACGACTCGTATCTCATAAATTTAATTAAAGCTGTTTTGCGATTAATCTTTTCTTTCTCATGGGTTCTAAGTTGTCAAACTAGCACAGACAAGAAATTCTCTTCAACAGTAACTGCAAAAAAAAGGCATGAGGACTCTGAATAAAACCGATTTAATTCAGGTCCCTTTGTTGTTATCATGTCTGGTATATAAGCTTACTATGAATTTGGATTCTTTAGGGGTGGGCAGAGTGGGACTAGTCTGTACTCTACAGGTCTGAAATTATTTTTAGTCTTTTTTCTCCACCAAATGCTGTCTCCCTTTCCTTTGAAGCATTGCTGATAATTTTTTTTTTTTTGGCAAACCATTCCTGTAAGATAAAAGTCTGAGAAAACTGGTGACTCTTCACAGCATCTCGGTGGAAACTGCTCAGAGGCAAGAAGTATTTTCCAGTTGATTTTCCTGTATCTCTCACCGTCACAAATCGGGCAACACTGTCCTTCTCTTTGTACTGGATGAGCACACAGTCTGGAGCATTCTATAGCTGCACAGAATACTTGAGTATTCTGTGAATAAAACACATGTTGTAAACTCCATTACTAGAACAATCACGCACATTGTACAAGAACGATGGGTGAGTCTCTCTTTCATCATCTTTAACCTTTGTGACTAGCACAACTCGATAGCAAACAAGTGATCTGTAGTTGTTAAGGCTCTGGTAACTGATTCCATGGGTCTGCTATGGAACATCATGCAGCGTCTTCTTTTACTCTCAGCAACTCTATTGTGTTTTAGGCTTCCAAGTCCAGGGGGCACTTTTATAAACTGTCTTTGAGGATGTTCCTTATTCCATTCCATTTAGAGTGAACTACACGTAAAATGAACAGCATTACTGGTTGAGGGTCATTCACAAAACACAGCTTACCCTACATGTGCATCGCTGACAGGGATCTATCAAGGGAGTGTAGGTTTGTCCATTGTCATATGTAATACCATTCACAGTGCACTGTCCTATGCAGACAGGAAAAGGAAACAACGTTGCATTCCTTTATAAAAGTAGAAATGGGGCAAACAGTGGCAACAGGGGCAACCTACTGTCAAATCACTCTCTCCTGGACAATTTCAAAGGAGGTACTTCAACCACAGGAATACAATTTATGCATGGAATATCTTCTTTCCTAAGTCGATATGTGTACATGTATATGTACATGCAGGTCAGTTGGTTAATAGCCTTGGTTAACAGTCTATAATGTTGTATTGCATGTATTGTTGGCAGGGTATTTTTTTCAGTTCTTCCTGATTTGCTGCTGGGGAGATTTATACTTGATAAGAAAAGCAAGAGGCAGCAGAGTATGTATAAACAAGTTTTGGGTTTGTTTATCTAACCTCTGAGGAATGGACAATCTCTGAGGGCAAGGCCATAAGAAGCCAAAGCACCCCTATCACAAAATGGTACAGTCCACAAAAGCACAAAGTATACATGTACCATACACTGTACACTGTATACAGGGCATAACCACATGCACAATGCTGTGCAGTGGTGCGTGCATTGAAGTACTTTAAAGCCACACCTACTTATGAATATTCAGATAGTTTACATCTACCACTAAAATGATGAGTAATTCCTGAAAAATCTGTTGTTTTTTTTATGAAAACACTGCCATATGTCAACAAAGAACAGAATACTCTGATGTATTTTTACTAATTTTATTCTAGATTGAAGTTCTGAAATTTTTTGACAGGTTACAGAGAAAAGAGACAATTTTTGTTGCTGAACAGGTTACCCACCATGAAGTTAACAGTACATGCTTCACTTATATACCTTGAACAACCCTTTCTCATCACTCCGGTTTCTCTGCATCCGCATAAATCTTTCGCCTTTTACTAAAGATTTCCGTGCAGAGGAACAATTAATGAGTCTATAGACTAATTTTTTGCTGCCCAATTGAAAGATTGGGCTAATACAGAATCAAAAGATAGAAGCACGACAAACTTTAAAATTCATTCCAACAAATATAATTTTTATCAAAGTTATCAATTATATTGAGACATTGATCTCAACTGCATTCAAATACATGTGATAAAATGCAGAGTGCTAACAGATTGCAGCATGTTCAAAGGGCAAGTCATTTACGGCAACATCTGCTAGGGCCAAACCTTCTTACAAATAGTTCTACATTCCTCTTTTTGGGGGGGGGCAGGTGGCCAATTTAATTATAACACTAGACTTTTTTAATTTACGCAATGCAGAAAGATCACAACAAACCTGTTTGAAGCTACAGGAGAGGATAAAGAAAACCCAAATCAAGAATTTTATCTTCAATGAGCTATTTAAAATCAACAATCTCAGAATGACATGTTAAGTATTTTCCCTTCAACTGTTTCTCTCAAAAGAGTTACCTGTTTCAACATTTATCCTGATTTTAGCACATTTTACCAACAAACTTGTCACAATACAACTGAAAACAAAATCCATAGCACTGCTGGGTGATCAGATGAACATTCACCGACTGGTTGTCAGTTTTTACAACATGGCAAATAACAAGGAGCAAGCACAGCATTGAAAAAAAAATAAAAAACCCAAAACTCATATCTAAAAGTGTAATGCAAAAACAGTATTCTTTGCCAAAGAAGTACTGAGCCATCCATTTCTAGAATGCAAGCAGGCATTAACTCAAGGCTTCCAAGAATAACACAGAACATGGTCAACTATATCAAACACCTCTGACTTGATTAGGACAGAGACAGAAAGTTAATACGAATGCCTAGTTACTAACCTGTACAGACTGGACAGCATTTACCAGCTGGTATGATGGCATTGGTGCACTCAACTGGTGGACAGACAGGATCTTGACAGGTTACAAACCCATTCTGGTGTTTAAAAAAAAGGAAATTGTGTGCTACAGGAAATAAAATATGAAGCCAAAATGTTTGAAGCATAACAGGCACATCATGCAAGTTTATTTTTGAAGGCATTTATGGGCATTGAAGTTATGTAAGTTATCAAAACACCATAAACAAAAACGGTGATCAATGCTTCATTATCTTACATTTTAAACTTAAGTAAATTCCAAACTCTATTCTAGTAAAACTTACTAAGACACTTGCCTTTTTTCCAATGCTTATAGATAAGAACTAATTGTAACAAAAACAAAGACATCTGTTCCTCATCAAATTCAACAGCACTACCATGTCTTTACAATTGTTATATCCAATTCCACTGTTGTACTTTACAATTTTTACTTTGCACTAAATGCTCATATAAATGGTTAAAAATCCCCGAATCTACTTCCTTCCTTTTTGTTGAAAAAGGGATGTGCATTTTCCAAAGAATTGTAAGGATTAGGGTGCCAGTCTAAGCTCTTGTGTCACTACAGTTTGTATTGCTATTATTTTCAGACCCTGTATCTGAGTTGTCTATTTTTGGCAATTTGTCTGCATTCATGAAAAGCCACGAGCTTCACTTCAAAGCAGTTCTGGGCTGGCCTCTGTGGTAGACACACATATCGTTGACAAGTTCTGCATGTGACATGGCCATTTTTATATGACATTGTTTACTAGTGAGTGATTGCCTCTTCTGTTATCTGAATAAACAAACTGATAGTTCTGTGACATTATTTATTGTCTGACTTGTACCATCTCATTTTGTCTGTTATTCACCTGGATCCATAGTTCTACTTAATTAGGTATTCCAACGTCCATCTCTTGATGTTTTGGAGCTTAGAAATTCTCCCACATTTGACAGTTATTGCTTATTATTCCAATCTCTGTCAAGAAGCTTCAGTGAAACCACTTAGACTGCTCAGTTACGTTACAGAATTATGTCGTCTACAGGGTACTGCTCTCACATTAAGTTAACTTTGAAATGTTCAGCACTGAACTCAATGCACCTAAACCCTTTAGTCTTGCTTCGCCAGTTAAAAATGATAAAATGCATTAAAACAACACAAGCAGATGGATCTCAGAAATGTCACACCAGAGGACATGTAAACAAGCAATTGAATTATTCTTGGCAGTTACATAAAGGACTTGAAAACACATTATGGCAATTTTTATTCAAAATAGCAAAATAGAAGTTGATGTGCATACATTCACTCACTGTCACGTCAGGACTTCCAGACCTTCCAACCCTTTCAGATAAGCCTTCGTGATGTCCCTACTTCTTATGGAAAGTTGAAGAATTTCAAGATATTGTGCCTTAAGTAATACAACACCTGAGGCTGGAGCACTGTAAAATAACAGTCTGCAAAAGGTTAAAGGATCTTACACTGCATTGACAGGTTCGGCAGGTGTCTACAGGATCAGGGAAATTGTCTCCATTACCCCAGGGTTTGCCACCAAAAGTACAGCCTGAAAGATATTGAAATCAAAATCAACAACAAAGTTCTGAATGTCTAGTTTAACCTTGATTGATACTGGGTTTATCTAAACACCATCAACACTTCTTGGGGGCAAAGATGTGAAGTAGCTTTTTGAAGTGTGTGGTGCAGAGTTCACAACAAAATGTTACTTCTCTGTCATCTAAATTGCCACCTATGATGTTTGTGACGCTTCTTGTAGAAAATCTTCATGCTTTGCATTGGTATACTCACCGTTGCATTCCGGGCAGCATTGTCCCTGACCAGCATGTGGGCAGGTAACATTAGGACAAGGACGATAGGTGCATTCCCACTCGCCATTCACACACTCACAATCTTGGCAAGGATCCAAGTCTTCTGGCCGCCTGCATTCTGTCAAAAATGGACCAGTTTTCTTAACAAAAAAGCATGGAAATTCTTTTTCTCGCTGTTATACTGCACATTCAAAATGCTAATGCATTATTTAAAACATGAGTTTTGCCGACAAATTTCTCAAAGAAAGAGGAAAATGCACGTCTTAAAAAAAGTCACTCTGACATATTGACAATTTGCACAGTAAACAACTAACCTTGCTGTGGGCATGTGTCACAGCAGTCACCAGGATTCCGCAAAGGGTTTGCACACTGGACAGGTGGACAGCTTCGTAACGTACACACTACTGAGCCATTCTACACAGCAACAAATGACATCATTTTTTGATCAGGCCTACTGCAATTTTCTGTTTATGAAGTACTGCACCAATGACTAAGCGAACACTAAAGTACAAACTTATAGTTTGAACACAAATCTGAAAACAACACAAGTGCCTCTAAAATAAGTGGCTTCTAAATTCAAGCTGTCTAAATAACGAATGTTAACATGTACATCGTTTCATACAAAGCCCAACCAAATCTTCTTGTGTACAAAGTTACCACTTTACTGTAACAGAAAATTGTGAAAAACTTTTACTTTCTTAAATTAAGATGTAGTTAATGCTTATAAGTAGACATTCGTGTGTCTTGCAATTTGCTCTAATTGAATGATTGACAACATGTTTCTTTCTGCATAACCACTACTTACAAGTTCAGAAATTAGTCATCTGACAGAAGACAGAACACTGTTTCGCATTTATTGGTGATTAATTGGTGTCATCCAAAACATTGTGTTCATGTGAAAGGCTGTACTCATTCCTAGCATAACATGCATCTGTGTAGTATAACATGCTTTGAATGAAGGGCTATGACTGTGTGTACTGTACATGCATGAGTACAGCAAATTCAACATGGTACAATCAGTGAAAAGCTGTTGATCGTACCAACACGTGATTGGTGAACCACCAATAAGATGACAGGAATTTATTCAGGTGTTGTAAAATGATATTTTGTGATTCACAATGCAATATGCCATCAAAAGGTTGCCATGGAGAGGCCATTTTTGAAAATGGTCAACAAATTCCATTCACCGACTTTGTGCAGAATATTTGAATTATTCTGGATTGTAAGTGTATTTCGAGTAGCAGTTTTACTTAATCTCTTCTTCTTTCTAATGCACGGAATGTCCCTATCTATCAGAAATTTCCCCAAGTTAATTAACATATGCTCAAAAGCAAATCAAAGTGAGGCGGCAATGCTTTTGTCCAACATGAACTTGATACTTGATAATGGCCTCTCTGTGGTATAAAACCTGTTGATGGTGTATTGTGAATTTTCCTATTGTTTATTGAAAGGAAAAAATGTAGGCAATCACTTGAGTTTGGTTGTTTGGCCCTTACCTGACAGTAGCAATCTCTGCACATGTTTGATGGATCCATGAAGATTTCCCCATTCCTCACCATTACATCCTCATACATACAGCCTGGCAAGCACACACACACAATGAAGTAAAAGTCTAACTTAACAAAACAAAATGCAGTCATTTAGTCTCAATTTCAGTCACAACTTATTCAAATAAACTTTGGTAAATATATGTACATTCAATGCTATTATTCATCCCCTGTTACTGCTATAAAACAAAATAAAGTCATTTAGTCTCAATTCAAGTCAAAGGCTATTCAAATGAACTTTGGTAAATACATGTATATGTGCATTCAATGCTATTATTCATCCCGTTACTGGTAGCATACATTGTGGCCTGAGTTGCTTTTATAATCTGTTGTTCAATAGATTGTAACTATACATAATCAAAACTGGTATTTTGACAATTCAAAAATAAAACCAACCAAAAAATAAACCAATGAGCCATGCAAGAGATTATGTATTAAATATAAAATCAAAAGGTACTAATTATCCTCTTGATTATAAAGCTAAGTCAAAAGTAGAATTAGGCCAGAAAGGATTACCAAATTTATGAAAAAAGGCTCCTCGATGTAAAAGGTCATATTCTAACTGAAGGGTACATATATAGTGCCATAAAATAATAAATTACAAAGAGTTTGCATGGCTGGAATGACTGTCTTACCATCACAGGATGGACAGAGGCACTGGTCTGGCATTCCATGAGTACAGGATACTGGTTGGCATGGAGCTGGAGCACAGTTAACATTACCATTCTGAAACAAGGAAGTATAGAATACATCTGTAATACAACATCATGACTGATATAAGTATAGTACAAGTCTGCTGTTACAAACATGATGCTCCGTATGGGCCTCCAACTGGAAAGAAAGGATGCTTTTTTCTTAGGAATGGAGGCTCCTTTGGTAGGAACTTCGCTGATTCATGACTGACTAGGAAATGCACATTGCGACCAACGAATAGAACACTCCCAACTAACACGACTCTTTTCAACAGATGAGGGGGTGCTTCTGCTCGAGGTGGATAGCAGTCATTTGGTATAGCATTTTTTCGTTGCCAATGCACCCATTCTGGGTTCTTGCCCATTCAGACATGTGGCAATCTGCCTAACAAATGTTTCAGCACAAGAAATCTGGGTCAACGCAAAAATTAAGTTATAATAAATGACACCGAAATTCATGCATGTTGTTCAGTGTTTGTCCATTTCCTTTCATAATTTACCCTTTGGGCAGTTATCACTTAAGTCCAGTCATGAAATGAAAGAAAGTTTCGTTTCCTTAGTCATCACTTAAAAATCGCATGTGACATGTAGTACAGTTACACTGGTTCCCGCTGCTGAATTAGAACGATAAAAGATGGGCTGGGAACCATCTATAGCTCTGCCGCTACACTACATGGCCAAGTCAACAATGTAAGAAATGTCAGGCAAACAAATATTTAACAAAGATTTCTGTGACTTAAACTGATCTGTCTGCCTTTGTATGAATTTTCTCAAATGACTTTTCATGTGGAAAAATCCTGCCTTTGTTAAGATAACAGGAAGCAGGATCAGATTGCCACAATTAAGCCTGGTTTCCATATGGTCATAACAAACGCCAACGGCATGCAAGACGTCAAGATACACAGTCGTGGAAGAGACGCTGCGTAACGTCATTCCACCAAAAAAATTAAACAAAATTGTGTCCGAGACTCAGAAAGTTTTTGCCAAAATACCTTTTTAGGGGCAATATCACCTCTGGAAGCCAAACTCATACTCCAGTTTGATATAATTTGTAAATGGTCAGTTACCTTGTTGAAAATTGTGGCTGCATATTATTGTAATAAGGAGAAAATGGATGAAATGGGTGGTACTAAGCAAGAGGAACATTGTTGTATGCCTGTCATGCCAGCTTGAGTGTAGTGGTGAGTGGTACTACAAAGCACCACCTTATCTAACATCTAAAGCAAATCACAGGCTCTCATGACAGGTTCTAGATACATTCCCCAGCAAACTACTATGAGTACAGCCCTTAGGGCTGATGAAAATGCTTCATTTAAAACAAGGCCCATTTTAGGAAGGAACATGATGCCTTCAAAGTATGCCACCTGCTAAGATGGGCTGTTCAAAGTTCACAAGAATTTGGTGAGGCCAACCAATGTTAGAACAATTGGAACCACCCTGTGTTGAAAGGCTGTTCCCAATGGCAATAATGAGCGTGATGATTCTGTAGCAAAGTCAAAGTGCATTCCAAAGACTTGAAACACTCCCTCTCCAGTCTCCAGTCATGCGTATCCAAGAATGACCAACATTGAGAGCACTGAGGACACCAAAAAATTGATCATACCAAACAAGTGCAGATACGACAGGTGTCAACGGTGTCCTGGAAGGACTGGCCATTGTCATAGGGATTGTTGTCATAGAAACAGCCATCACACACAGAGCAACAGTAGTCTGGTTGAGTGATAGGATTCAGGCAGCGAGGAGGTGGACATTCATGATGCTGGCACTCCACATGGCCTCGCTGTCAACAAAAACACAAACATGAAAACATGATATTTAAAGCCAAAAAAGTAAAAATCAACATGTCAATCAACGGAGGATTTACATGCATCAATGGATGTTATATTGTGCAGTGTCTGAAATGTGTGCCTGACCGCAGTTCTTCAGTGTAATTGCCCACGTTCGGTTACCCTGAGAACAATATACAAATTAAAGAGTACATCATTTATGATCAGGCATTATAAGACAAAATGACAGTGATAAATATTTTATCAAACGTCATTAGCAAACAACTAAACAATTTCTAACAACTGTCCGTCTCTACTTTTCTTATTCTGGATAACAAAATTTTTCATGGTCAAGTGTGAAAAAATACACATTAATCACTATTTTCAGGATGACAAAATAAGAGATAGATTCAGCAACATGTCCTATGCTAATGTCAACATGATACATATTGCACTTATGTGTGCACACAGACTTTTTGTGTTCATGCTCATACTCTTTTCTCCTGCAATGTGATGCTACACTGTGCTGAGGTTTGCCACCTTGAACCAGTGGTAAACCGCCTGAAATCTTTAGTTTTTAATAATGTTGTGTCTTTTAGGAGACATGAGTGTGCATCCTAAATTCGGCAACCCCCCCCGGCAAAACTGGGTTCCATCTAGCTAGCCTGCATATCCTTTGGAAGTACTTACCCTACAAGTGCAGTCTCGACATGGATCATTGCTATCAGGGAACTGTGTTCCATCTAGCTAGCCTTTGGAAGTACTTACCCTACAAGCGCAGCCTCGACATGGATCATTGCTATCAGGGAACTGTGTTCCATCTAGCTAGCCTTTGGAAGTACTTACCCTGCAAGTGCAGCCTCGATATGGATCATTGCTATCAGGGAACTGTGTTCCATCTAGCTAGCCTATGGAAGTACTTACCCTACAAGTGCAGCCTCCACATGGATCATTGCTATCAGGGAACTGTGTTCCATCTAGCTAGCCTTTGGAAGTACTTACCCTACAAGTGCAGCCTCCACATGGATCATTGCTATCAGGGAACTGTGTTCCATCTAGCTAGCCTTTGGAAGTACTTACCCTACAAGTGCAGCCTCGACATGGATCATTGCTATCAGGGAACTGTGATCCATCCATGTACTCTACTCCATCGACAATGCATCCTGAAACCAAAGACAGAGAAAACAGAGCCACAATGAACATGCAGACAATTGTAAAGATAGTCAAACTCATAATGTAGATGCCATGGAATAACTGCAAGCTAACTTGCCACATCAATGGAATAACGATTAATCGTTTTCATGTATACCACAAACAGCTAGAGTACACAGGATTTTTGTTATGAACTGGTAGTAAGAATCTGTGTGTGACCTGCATTTGACCTCAAGAGACAAGAAGCAAGCGTTGTAAATGACTAGAACTTTCTTGGGTACTCTACAATTTTCTGGTGTTAAGTTTATCGTTAATTTTTTGGAAACATATATATTTTATCCAAGTTTCAAGAGGATGTCGAGTGGAGTTACATCTAGAAAATAAGAAAAGCCTTTAAAGAGGCAGGATTACAGGAATACGGCCGGACTGGGATTGGACTCATAGTATGGAACTTTCATCCAGACTTCTGTCTAAGGCCCTATGATCTGCTGGGGACTAGTCTGTGAAGCACTAGAAAGTTCACCTTGACTGAGGAAACGCTTGAGAGCTGAATCTTATGGAAGAGAGATCTTCTGTAAAATAAGTCTACAATTCAGTATTTTTGGAGGTGTCAATAACAGGAGTCTGCTTGCATCCTTCACTGTTTTGTCTGTTTCTGGCTGCTCATTGGATGTGAATTCACCCCTTCTCCAGCATACTTGCACCTCAAAGGGACTCTTTTCACCATCTGTGGAATTGTCTTTTTGTTTCAGAGCCTGCCAAAGTCCTTGCCCGTAACACCTAATTACATTTAACTTTTCTTAAACCCTGTTGGCACGTTAACTGTTTCATAACTAATTACTAAATCATCATTGTTTCTTTGCAATACATGTGTGACCTTGTTATGCTTCTTTGTTGCATCTGACAAAATTCAGGCTTTGTGAGTAAAACACCATGATGTTGCAACATGTATGACACAACACAACGCAGCTAGTACCATATTACAACATGACCTTCAAAGAACCTGGAACACACGGCAATGCCACGGGCCATGGCTTTCAGCTAATGTGCAGAGTAAGGCAAGAGCCTGCCGTTGGGGTGTCTTTCACAGATGACAAAACTAACAACTGGTGTTAAACAGTTGTGCGGTTTCCTTTGACATTTTGACTCTTTTTTCAACGGACTCTATCCCCAACATGAAAAACATCGAACTCCTTATTACCAGACGGTTATGAGCAATATAGTTAATGAATCGTCCATATTTCTTGAAAGCTAAAATCTCACTTTTCACCCACACAGTTTCTTTTGCAATTCACACCAATTTTCATGTTAGTAGAGAATTTAGTAATGTGCACAAGGGGCACATACCCTTGTGTGCATACCACAGATGTGACTCTATGCAGTTTCACAAAACTGTTTCCTCACACTTTCATTCCCCTGTTACAAGACAAATTTTAAAAAACCCAAACAAACAAACAAACAAACAAACAACACAATGAAATGGCGACTTTGCTGGGCAAGGGACACAGCACCAACTGATAAAAATAAACAAGGAGGCTACTGACCATCACACACAGGGCAACCACATTCATCTTGTCTTGGGTTAGGGCAAGACACTTCCTGACATCGCAAGGGCTGACAAGTGACATCACCATCCTACACAAATATGGATGTTCACACTGAGAATATTAAGCACTGCCGTTACATGTGACATGCGTTAACTTCAGAAAAAAAATCACATAGTTGATGTTAAAATTGAAGACAACAACAAATGCTAATTCTTGGGTAACATGGTAAGCATCTGCCATTCAACCATGTCAGTCACACCTCCAAATCTAACGCCATCAGATAAGTTTTGATTTATTAATTTCAAGCATTTTGTGATACTATGTGAAAAGTAAAAAGAAAAAAACATAAGTAACTCTTTTCCCAAATCTCCTAAAGTGGGTGAGATATAAATCAAGAAGTTACTTGCCACACAAATGCATTCTTGGCACTGGTCTTCAGGATCAGGGAAGGTCTCTCGGTTCCTGTAGAACCTGCCAAGATAGGAGCAATCATCGCAGACAGGGCAACACTCACCAGACGGCTTGACAGGGAACTTACACAGTGGCTGCTGGCAGGGTTGCGCCGCACACTCCACAAAACCATACTGAGAACCAGAAATATGTCAGTGTTGGCATCCTCAGTGTCATAGTGAAAAGCATGTTATTTGCAGTGCTGTCGATGAGCTTGTATGTCAAATGGGAAAAAGGTAAGTCAATAAAAAGGGTGAGCTTTGTGGTTCTTCATTACTACCTCAAGATTCTTCATCTCCTATGATGAAATTTTGCTTTTTCTGAAGGAACCACAAATTAACATATTTTTAGGCATTTTGGACAATGTCTTTTAAGTATTCACAAGTAAATAACAGCATTCATTTGGTAATATGAATTTGATGATTACTTCTGATTGATTATGAAATGGTCACATGGTATTCCACTCAGCTTTTAATACTGACAGATCTAGACTTAATACTGCCATAGGAAAGGATAAAATCTGCCTCAAAAAGTCATGAAAATGGGGGGAGAGCACAGCAGTAAGTACCCAACCCATTCTTGGAAGTGTTTAGCAAAAAACCCTGCAAACTACTTGATACCTGACACTGGCACTGTTGACAGGCAACCTCAGGATCTTCAAATGTTTCACCAGTTCTGTATTCCACCCCATTGTAAGTACACCCTGAAATGAAAACAGTACAAGGCACAAACAGTCAGACATCGCTAACATGGGCCATGTGTAGGCTAAGAATGTTTCTATACAGAGTGCATTTTGATTTGTTTATTCTTTTGTTTACAAAGCTTTGACTGAATCTAGTGTCTAGGGTTAAGTCTTAATCTTTGCTGGTTGCCCATTCATGGATACATATTGCTAACAGACACAGACGTAGCCATGGAAGCCTGTTTTGGACACAACTCAAGCTTTTCTTAAGATGATGGTCTATTCGCTATTGATAATTTATTATCAAAATCGTTCACTTTATATTACTTTTTGCTACAATAATCAATATCTAAGAAATGAATACCTTCGACAAGAATAAATTTAACTGTAATAAGAGTTTAAATGTGGATCTGAGGAATATGGCTATACTTTCCTCACCATTACATGTTGGGCAGCACTGCTCTCTGATTGGATGAGGGCATTCTATAGGGTCACATGGTATCGGTGCACATCTTGGAACACCATTGTTGCATTCACACTGCTGGCAAGGATCCCTGGGATTTTGGAATGACTCTCCGTGAAGGTAGATCTGACCATCGATCTCACAGTCTGCTTCTATAAATCCAAAAGTCAGCAGAGATTTCGTCAAAACCTTTTGAAAACTTCTTGCATGTAAGGTTTGATGACTTCATATTTTGAACTCTTTCCTGTTTGACTGTGAAAATGTAAGGCTGTTTATTGAAACTGAATCTCAGCTTTTAGCAAGTCAATTGATCTTGTCCAAACCATTTCTGCAAGTTAACCTTAACCCTCTTCAGGTTCTCTTTAGGTACCCTGCGGAACCCAACAGAATCTGACAGCCAGAGCAAAAGGCCTTTTGTTCACTCCCTGTATCATCAAAATCCCACAGGAAGAGACCACTGCTGGGGTTTACCATGGTTAGCATTTACAAATGAAAAACAGTTTGCCAGCAAATGTACTGGACTCCATGTTTCACTGCGAACACATAAAGAAATAAAGCCCAATCAGTGCACACCACATGACTATGACTTTTCATAGATTGTCAACTTTCATAATGTGGAGAGACTGTCAGATACATGTACATGTATGTTACCTAACTCATTGTATTCCATGTGCCAAAAAACTATTAAGGGTTCATGTTGTATTTGAGTGATAGCAAGTGTCCATGTCGTACCTGGGCACACTTCACAGCAACCTCCTTCTGGTATGTACTTCTTTTCACAGAATACAGGAGTGCATGGCAGAGGTTCACATCGCACATTGCCATCCTGTATATAAGGAAACATAGGTATCAGCAACCTCATGGATCAGAATAAGAACACAGAATTAATTAATGTTGAAAGAAACATTGATGTAGGTCAGAAAGCTGAACTTCCATGTTCACATTCTGTCACCGCTGACTGCATTTTGATATCTATGGAGTCCTACTATATAGCCTGGATTTGCCTTGGGTCGGCAAGGAGAGTGGTCATGTGTCTATAGCCCATAAATGGTACTTTCTCACTTGTACAAAGAAAGCATGGTAAAACAGAAACAAATGTTTGACAGGCACAAATAGAAAACAGCTGAAAATTTTGATGGACACTCAAAACATTTTTTGAGTTTCCCAGTGCAGCTTCAATGCACAGATAGACAAATGGAGGGACAGACAGACAGGTCTATAAGAGAAAGTCATGAGACAGGTTGTCTACCCACCTCACAGTGACACTGTCCACATTCCTCCTCTGGATCAGCAAATGTAGCACCATTGGAGTAATGCAAACCTAGGTAAGTGCAGTCTGCATAACAAATCCACACATTCTCATATAAGGAAATGTAGTTTGTTTTGACATGTAATGCGCTGTAAATGGTCACGGCAGTAGGTTCCCTTTAAAGCACTCCCTAATACAAAGCTCTTCCTCATATACAAACTCTTGTTTTTCACATCATCGGCTGTTCTTCCACCGATTGCTTACCATTAACTTAGGTTAAGGCACTCATTTACAGAATTTTTGGGGATATAAATTACTCAAAATAAACATTGCAATGCAATGAAATGAATTGAAATGCAACTACTCCATGTCATTGCAGGGATCACTGGTTCCTGGCACTCCTATGTCCTTTTACTACTTTTAGTGGTAAAAACCATTGTACCATTCATGTATTGCCTTGTGTGCTTCCACCACAATGCACGTGCAATGCAAAGTGCTTCTCATTAGGAGGAGAGTCAGATGACTTTTATGCGACTCCACACAGCCTTATACACAAAGATGTTTACAGTTAGTTTTGTCCAATGTTAGATGACATGTATATGTGCTAATCTATGACTGACTTGATGTGTACATGTACAACTTCCAAACCTCCCATTGTGTTCCATGTTGCGGATACAGAGTGCACAGTGGATAAGGAGTATGGCATGACTGCACTGGTTATAACATGTACAGATATAATGTTTGAGTAGGAATGGTCCCATCCTGAGTGCTATATCTAATCTGATATTTCACAAGATGGCTGTCTTAGCAATCTAGATGCAACCATCAGAGTGAGCACACAGGCAAAATCTGTAGACCTACACTGGACAGGACTTATTCAGTGACAGCATAATTAATATTCAAAAGGAACCTTCAAAGACAACAGTCCCATCCTTGGACTTCTTCCTCCAAACTTCCAATAGCTCATGACATCCCATAGGCAGTGAAACTTAATGTTATACACTGTACAAAACTCTGTGCTGCACAGGGCATGGAATTTGGCAAGACTTAACTACTGTATGTCTTCCATCTCAAGCAAAGTAATGATGCCTTTTGAGAGATACTTTTGACAATTCCCCTGGGCATTAATTTATGCAGTTCTTACCCTCACATACAGGACAACAGTCCCCATCATAAGGGTGTTGGCACCTGCCCGGTGCAGGGCATTCCAGGCGTTGGCAAGTCACTTTCTTGTCTTTGCACAAACATTCCTCGCATGGGTTGATGGGATTACGGAAACTCTCCCCACTCTGGTATTCAACATCACCATAGATGCATGGTTTCTCTGGAGAAAAAAAAGATCAAATTGCATGCACTGTTATATCTTGTCTTTGAAAATGTGATTTCATTATTCTACAATGTTCACATTGTCAAAAAAGTTGTTTTATAACTCAAATGTGTGCGATTTTCGACATAGGAAAAACGAAACAAAAATGCAATAGTGCAATTTGAAATGACTTTGTTAGGAGAGGTCAGGACACTGATTATAGACTAACTTGCTGTGAATTTATTCAAAACTGCTTATGAGTATTTTCATCCTAATACCATTTCAGAATAATTTACGTCAGAAAGATCCATGTCAGAGACGTGCCATCTGACAGGAAGAAAATGAAAGATTACTGGTGCATCACTGCTATGCATTGTGGGAAGAATGGTCTATAGGGCATACTGCAGTTGATCAAAGCTTAGTAATATGCTTAAAGCATTCGAGAAATATGCATGGGTAAATGTTATCTAGATAAGATGACAAAGTAGAGTTATGAGACTGAAAAGAACTTTAATAATGTTCTTTCTGTTGCTTTTAAAAATTACTTCACTTTAACTTATTACTTTATTACTTATAGAATTACTTATAGAATAGTACCCACCTGTTATTGCAATACATATAGGACAACATTCACCCTCTGGAGTGTAGAATTGTTCACAGTTCTCAGGAAGTGGGGGACATTCCCTCATATTACACTGAACATTGCCACCCTATACACAAGCACAAGAAAACTTTACCAATGGGTCTGTAAATGAAAACAATGGGTCATGACCCTTTTTGACTCAGAACACATCTATACAGCTAAACTGCCTCAATAACAGGTTTCATAATAGAATGATTTGAAACTTTCTGTTTGACGAAAATCTACTTGAGAGATTGCAATCTTACATTTTGGATGATAGAGGGCGGTCATACTATTCAGAAATTGCTAAGTCATCCAGTCTGATACAAACAATACAAGTTCACGTCAAAATAAATCAAAATGTTTGGACAAAGTTGGAGCCCCTGGAATGTGAAAAATGCTTTTGCCTGTTCTGATATTTTTCCACGTTAAATTGTGAACCCGGAAAAAACATGTTCCAGTTGAGCTTGTCTTATTCAGAATGTACGTCACTGTTCATTGGACTGCGACCACACAATGGCATTTTCTGCTCTTATCTTATCTATTTGGGCAATATCCGTGACGTTTTGTGCTGCGGTAGGTCAGCTACAATGCCAAAATATATTAATCCATATTGGGGATACACCTATATCTGTCAGGTGTGCGAGCAACGACCCTAGAAATATTTTATCATTGTATAAAAATGGTATAAAAGTTCAATCTTCAGAAAACGTGTCACTGGAGTGGGTGCGTAATGTATCTGGAACGCACCTCACCATGATTGACAAATCGTCATACAGTGAAGTTCAAACAGTGCCTTTTGAGTGCAGGGGGATATCAAAATTAAACCCAGCCGCTTTAAAACGGCGATTCTGCCATCTAACAGTCTGTAAGCATGATGAAGAGTTAACATGCCATTTGAATGCAACGTTGACAGACCGGCTTTACAATGCTTACTGTAAATACCGTGCAGGATGCAGAACTGTACCGGTGTGCTATGTAAATGATCAGAAATTGCCTGGGCTTGGTCCTAAGCTCATCAACTCCAAATATCATATGCAATTTCAAGTTACTCTTGGACCCAATGATGTAATGGAGTGTCAGCTTCAGAATCCATCCATGCTAGAAATTTTCTGGCAGAGAGTGCAGGTTCGTCCTCCCCAACTAAACATCTCCTCTAACAAGGGTATGTACATGTATTTTTCTCCTACTTTTTTGGGTACCATGGATGGCACTTGCTTCTACTGTTCACTAGAAGACTATGCATTGTGCATTTAGGACATCAGTGACAGACTGGGTCATATTCTAACAGAAGGCTTTACAGCCCGTTTCCACTTGATCCACCAATTGGGGGATCTGATCCACCTTTTGCCAAATTGCCGGATTAGATCCCCCAATTGGTGGATCAGATCCGGCAATTGTGTGTAGTAGGAACGCTAACCGTTATAAGGTGGATCAGGATCAGATCCACCTTTCTTGACCCTCCTCTGGAGCAGGATGCAGATCCCCCAATTGGTGGATCAGATCCGGCAATTGTGTGTAGTAGGAACGCTAACCGTTATAAGGTGGGTCAGGATCAGATCCACCTTTCTTGACCCTCCTCTGGAGCAGGATACAGATCCCCCAATTGGTGGGTCAGATTCTGCAATTGTGTGTAGTGGGAACGCTAACCGTTATAAGGTGGGTCAGGATCAGATCCACCTTTCTTGATCCTCCTCTGGAGCAGGATACAGATCCCCCAATTGGTGGATCAGATCCGGCAATTGTGTGTAGTGGGAACGCTAACCGTTGAAAGGTGGATCAGATCCACCTTTCTTGACCCTCCTCTGGAGCAGGATACAGATCCCCCAATTGGTGGATCAGATCCCCCAATT